TGTTGGAACCTGCCTCCTTTTGGGGCAAGTATAGATGTTTTATTTATCTGTTTTCCTTTAATTGGAAACTTACCCTGTAAAAAGTTTTATTCTATGAAAGGTATGATATGTGATGACTATACTATCAAGTCATGCGCATAAAGTGACACATAGCACTATATTAAATTAAAGTCAGTTTATATCTGGACCTATTAAAAATAGCCAGGACAAAAGGCTTGGCAGGATTTCCATAGTCTTTAGAGAGATTTAAAAAAAAATTCTGGCAGAATCCCCCTGTCAAATCCAGGAGCAAAATATTAATGTCTGCCTTGCAAAATTCAACTATTTTCTCACACAACTCTGATCTTAAAAGGAGCATTCATTGACTTTTGGGGCACAATTTATAGTAGGAGCAGAACAGAAAGGCAGTTTTAAAATAGTCTGTGAAATTCCCCAGTGGGGAGGTAAAAAGAATCTTAGCAAAAAGATTATTGGAAGCTGAAGTTATGATGAAGATAAACTAAAGTTATCTTGGTCCAACAGAACCTCTATGGTGGGCCAGAAGTGCTTCCTCGGGCTCAGAGTTAGATTGAGCACCAAATCTCAGTCTGGAGGACCCAACTATCCCTCACAATTCTTCCCTCAGCTCTCTGCTGGTGCTTGGCATGTTCTTAACTCTGCAGGTGGGAATCACAGCAGAATCCCCAATGTGAGGTGGAAGTTAACCCTGGTCCCTTGGGATGAGTGGCCTGCATTCTTGGCATCAGCTTTTCCAGCTGTTGCAGAGCTGCAACATGAGAGCCAACGGAGCCTCTGTGAATCAATGGATGACTTTAGGGTGTTTCCCTAAGAAGATCTTATTTGTCTGAGCTTCTTCCTGCTGCCGTTGATTGCAGTTGAATGCAGAAAGGCCCTTTCTGTTTGTAGAGTCTTGCTTGTGGAATAGCTGCATTGCTTGGGGTCTGTTGCGATGGGTGGTTTGCAGGGGGATAGAAAAGGTGTTCATCCCTGTCGTGATGTGGGGTAACAGGGTTAAAGAAAATAACTCCTAAAATAACTCATGATTAGTTTCTCTATATCCTTCCAGCTAGAACAGTGTTTCTCAACCTTGACAACTTGAAGATGTGTGGACTTCAACTCCCAGGATTCCCCAGCCAGCGAATGCTGGCTGGGGAATCCTGGGAGTTGAAGTCCAGACATCTTCAAGTTGACAAGGTTGAGANCGAATGCTGGCTGGGGAATTCTGGGAGTTGAAGTCCGGACATCTTCAAGTTGACAAGGTTGACAAACACTGTCCTAGACACTGAATTGTTTATACGCGAATGCTGGCTGGGGAATTCTGGGAGTTGAAGTCCAGACATCTTCAAGTTGCCAAGGTTGAGAAACACTGAGTTGGAGCTTCTGGAGCAGTGTGTGTAGAAATTGCAAGGCAGACCCAAGGCCAGAAAAGTTATTTAAGGATTCAACCCTGGCCAGTTCCCTGCAGAGGGAGTCACCATGCTTCACACTCCTCTTCATATTCATTTTGCGCCACTCCTCTCCTCTGGCCCAGGCATTCTTCCAGAAAGGGCTTTTGCAATCCTGCTGTTGCCAGGCCTCGGCTGCAGTTGTTGAGGGAGTGTGGTGTTAGAAGCAGGCTGAGGCAGCAGCCCTGTCTCGAGGATTGAGGCTTTGGAGAGAGAAAACCCCAAACTATCTGCTGACCCAGCGCTGGGGAATCTGAAGTGGGTAGGTGGGGGCAAGAGTCAATGAGTAAGGAGGAAGTGTCCTAACCATCTGATTTTCCCCGTGACTCTGCTTTGCAGCCAAAGAATGTGAAACCCTCAATGAGAAAACGGATAAGGAGACAAGAATGTTTAGGGCTTTGCCATAATTTACCCATAAATTTGAGAGGTTCTCCATGGAAAACAAAGTCCCATTCAGTTCCTCTGCTCCTCATTCTCCAGCACTCAGGCTGTCTGCCAGATGGAGACCCAGATAGTCTCCATTCTCAGCATTTGCCCAGCAGGATTCAGCATCTGCTTCTGTCCGGGTCCCCTGATTGTTAAGCAGGCGCTAAACGTGGCATTTTAAAGGCAACCCGTTCTGCAGCGGTGGGCCAGCCTGAGAGGCAGTTGGAGGCAACGGCCTCAGGTTGGGACTTAAGGAGGGGTGGGAAGAGAGAAAGAACAGCAACAGCTGTCCTGTTCTTCTTGGCTGAGCTATTTGGTTCTCCTGGAGAAGAGAGGGATGTATTCTTCCCAGCTTCTGCCTCTCCAAACCAAGTTTACCTCATCTGGTTGCGATGGAGAATGTTTCTCCCCAGTCCAAACTCTGTGGCTTCCCTAAAAACTTGCCTGAGCCATTTTGGTAGATGATTCGAGGTGAAAAGAGACATGTTACGTGTCCTGGGAGTTTCCTTCTATGGGAAGAATCTAATCAGTTCTTAGATGTGGTGGTGGGGGGGACTTTTTGTTCCCAATTCCCCATTGTTGCCTCCAGCTGCTATTTCTCCATAATATGTTAATAGCAAATTTAGGTAAATTAGTTGAGTTGTTGGGGCTGAATATGTAGCCCTCCGGGTCATAATTATATCCTCTTCCACTAAATGTAGAAGAGACATTTTAAAAACCATTCTAGGCCCTGATAGCAATCCTAGTTAAGTAAATTTATTTATTTGTTTGTTTGTTTGTTTGTTTAACAAATTTATAGCTATCAAAGCCACATAGAGGTGACTCTGGGCAACCCTTAAAAAGTCCACTGCATAATAAACCCACCCCCAACTTCATAAAAGATTGTTCTTTTACTAACTGAATAATCCGACCAATTACATATTTGGTAGATTAAAAACATAATAAACGTACACTTTTATATACCATAGTAAGTATATATACTAAGCACAAGGATGCATAGATCGAATTAAGAGGCAATATAGGTAATACATTATGTAATTGTGACCAGGTAGAAGAGGTTAAGTATGTATATATAATTAGTAAGTGGTAAAAGGGTATTGAATACACAAGAGTTCTGTGTTATACGTTGTGTGGCAGAGAGATGGCCAAGATGGTTTCACCATGTCCAACGATTTTTAAATTTTTTCTTTTAACGATAAAAGTTTTTTTTTAAAAAAAAGGCCTTGCATGTTGACCTAATTTGGGAAGAGTTCATTAGGAGTAAAATCACAACCCTGCCAATATGATTTAGACTTGCATTTTTTAACTTATGTGGAATAATTTTTCAGAAAGCCAGTGAGGCCGCTTATAACATGCCATAGCATACGTTTTCTGTATTCTGAACAATTCTCAATTGTTTAATTTTGCATTTAGAATTTTTATTTTATAACTATACTGTCGTGGCCCCAGAACTGAACCTTAGGATGAAAGGTTGGGGGTCTCAACTTGCCTCTCCCAGAAACCCTCAAGACCCCCCCCCCCCCGAGGTGGGTGGCTGCCGGTTGCACCCAGTTTGGCCGAACCAGTAGTAGAATTCATGCCTGGGTTGCAGAACCAGCAGTGACCCGGGCCTGACACCCCCCTTCCCCCCAGAACCGGTTCTCCAGTGTTTTCTGCCATTGCCAGCATGGTTCTGTGCATGCACAGAACAATTTCTAGTCAAATGCGCAAGCAATGTGTGGCCAGTGTGCGCGCGAGCGGTGCATGAACAACGAACCGGTACTACGCGGTTCAGGAACCCAACCCTCCCTCAAACCTACAGTCTCTACTCCTGGTCTTGGTGCATAGCCTGTGAATTATTGCTGTCACTAATTATCTTCTAGGAAACCCCTTACTTGCTATCCTCCCCCTAACCTGAGAGAGAGAGAGAGAGAGAGAAGGAGAGAAAGAGAGAGAAAGAAGGAGAGAGAGAGAGAGAGAGAGAGAGAGAGAAGGAGAGAGAAGGAGAGAGAGAGAAGGAGGGAGGGAGGGAGAGAGAGTGAGAGTTGTTTTCTGGCAAATAAGAAAAAAAGAGGGGGGGGATCGAATACATTAAATAGTGCCACCTCCTGGTTGGATATTGTCAAGGCATGTGACTAGCAGAATCCCCTTCCCTTGGGAGGTGAACAAGATGGCAGTATTAAGAAGGAAAGAGAGAATGTTAAACTCTTTTTAGCTTTCAGTTACACAAGCAAGACCCTGAATGGGAAAAAGAAAAATAATACAATATAGGGAGACATGCAAATCAGAGACTCTGAAAAGTACAAGTTGTCCTTTAAGCCAGTTAGACCCCAATGGCGGTGAACTATACTTTAAATATTTAAA